GGGGATTTAGGATTGGCTGAAGATCTCGCAATGGCCAATGGATGACTGGTGCGAACTTTTGACATTTCTCGCATTTTCTGACCAGCTCCTTTGCATCTATGATCATGGGTCGCCAAAATTATCTAGCCCTTAGCGCTTTATGGGCTAAGGCTCTTCCCCCTATGTGGCTTCTGCTGATGTCGAGGTGGATTTCTCGAAGAATGTAGTCAGCATCTGTTAGACCCACGCATTTCAGTAGCGGGGCTGAAAAGGACTTTTTCAGAAGCTCTCCTCTGAAGACTATGAATCTTGAGCTGATTCTTTTTATCTTAAAGGCTAAGTTTCTGTCCTCAAAAAGTTATCCCCGAACTTTGTAAGCTAGGATGGGGTCCATCCAGCTCGACTCGTGTGCGACACGGCAAACCTCAGGTTCTTGGTCCACACTTCTTTCTCGGCGCACTTCCACATATACAGATTGGTTCAACTCCTTGAATGTCGTGAATGAGGGGTCTCCCCATGATCACATTATACACAGATGGGACATCCATGACCAAGAATTCGGCCATGATGCTTCGTGCTGCTCGGCCTTTGCCGATGGTGATAGGAAGAAGGATCTTCCCATCAGGATATGATGGAGAGTCGTTGAATCCGGATACCGGGTAGGGTACCAGAGTTAGGTGCTTGGCCTACAATCTCAGCTGGTCGAATGCTCCCCAAAAGAGGATATTTGCCCCGCTACCGCCGTCAATGAGGGATCACCAGACGTTGCGATTTGCAATGCCCATTACGATCACTAATGGGTCATCATAGGGGTACACCACCCCCTCGCAGTCTTCGGCTGTGAATAGAATGTTCGGCACCGGAGACTGAGGTGCTCGAAACTCAGCATGATTTACTTGATTGGTTAGACCCCTCAAGTGGCGTTTCATTGCACTCTGAGAAGTTCCTCCGAAAATGGCAAGAATGTCAAGGTTGTCCTTATCCTGTTGCTTGTCTTTTTTCCAGAGAAAGTCCAGATCTTGCCGAGAATCATTCTCGGCTTTTTCTCCTCGCGGCGATCCGCAAGGTATTTTTTCAGATAGCCCTTTCGAACCAGATCTTGTCAAGGAACTTTCCAGCTTGCAAGCCATTCCGTAGTGAAAATACGGCAAGGCCCTGATCCAGACTTGTAATTCTGGATAACTCGTTGCTGAAGCGAGTCAGATAGTCTTGGAGGCTTTCATCCTCCACTTGCTGCAGGCTCATCAACTCTGCAGTTGTCTTCTCTCGGCGATTTGCCGTAGAAAACTTGCTCTTGAATTTGTTGGAAAGGTCTTTCCAACCGATTATAGAGCCTTCTTTCACTCCCTTGGTGATCCACGATTTGCAACACCTTTGAGAGTAGTTGGAAAATACTTACACCAGGTAGCCTCGGACCTGGGGTTAAGATACATGCGCCCCTCGTAAGAGGCAATGTGATCCTTCGGGTTCGAAGTACCGTCATAAGTTATGTGCGACGGTATTTTCACCGTCGGCACATGCTCTTCCAATATCCAACTTTGGAAGGGCGAACTTGTAGGGACCATTACGGCCTTCCCTTTCTATTTGGCCGAAGAGACCTCGCTTCTCCCTCTTAGAGAGGTGGAAGTGGTTTTCGTCCCTGGCCGAGACAATTCGGGGTACGGCCTGGTTCCTTCTGGGAAGGTGAGACGGCTACGCACGTCTACCTCCCTCAAGCCTAAGCGTTCATGGACACTTTGGCGAGCAGGCTCTTTCCACGCAAAGGTGGTATTGCTACTTCGGAAGCTCATGGAGTCCCGGGTCTCGGAACGGTGAAAGAAATGAGGGTTCTTTTTCCTTTCCCGCTCGGTCCTCCAAGTGTCCTCTTGCCACTTATCCCCAAGCTCCTTATAGGATGGAACTTGTCCATCCTCCTCTTGAACGATTCTCCTTCTCATGTGTCTCGGCAGAAGAGGTGAAGACTTGTGGGGCGTTAATGGGAGTTGTCCTCCTTGGGCTTTGAGGAACTCCATACAGACCGCTACAGCCCTTGTCACTTCCTCCGTAGAGGGCCCCGATGGAGGGTTTCTTTAGGCTTGGACCGAGAGTGTAGACTCTGCGGTGGAGGACCCTTCGCATTGGACCTACTCGGCCAAGACGAACTTGTCGGCTGGCGAGTATATATGGTTGGATGGAGAGTCCCCTGAAGCTTCCCTTTCCAGAGAACGGGGAGCTTTTGAAGTAGAAGAAGCTGGTTCTGGTGATGGTGAGATCGGTCGATGTTCCCTCACCGTAATCGGATCTCTGTCCCTCTTTGAAGAGGTGGGACCATTCTTCTTAGCACTCTTGGTGCTCTTGCCACTCTTAGTCATGCTTTTACTAAGAGTGATTGATTTTTTGTATCGTCCCCACAGACGGCGCCAAATTGTTTCGAATAAAAACAATAGGACCTATAGCAGGCCCTTCTCAAGGGAGAAGACTGATCTCAGTCCAAGTGACGATTGGGCCGAGGATATCCTGCACAGCAAACACACGTAAACTAGCCTCGGGGGTGGTTGCCGAGGAAGGCCCCTTCGATGCTAAAGTCAGTTCAGTGTATTGAGAGTAAATGCTATGTAAGAGAATTAATTGCTTAAGACTGATTGTGAATGACCGTAAATTAATACAATTGATGTCTTATATACCTTTGCTCAATGAAGAGGCTTGGGCCCTTGAAGTCAGATGGGCTTGCCATGCAAACTGGGCCTGATTGACTTTAGCATGCTTCCGGAGAATTGAACATTGCATTAGGCTTTTGTAATTTAATCATTTGGACCGGCCTAATTAGGGATAACTGAATTGAACCCAAACAATCATCATTCATCACTAACATATATACTACATTTAAAAGAAATGTTAAAAACTAATCCAATTCAATGTATCCCGACTTAATTTGAAGTGGCAAAGTGATTCAATCTATATATAGCTGAGTTATTAAGCGATTAAGACTTATTATCGTCCATATGCTTTTAATTAAGATCATTTTAACGGTGTATTTTAACTCCTAACATATTGCTGCTGGAATCTTCATAGCCACATTCTTATCTCTTTTTCATCATTTCAACTTTCTACTTCAACAAGATATGTAGAACAAAAGAAAGCATAATTTAAATGCTCCATATGCAAACCAATTACGAGTACTTAATGAAAAACTTCCTCTATTTCTTAAATAATTTTTTTTGTTACCTTTACACTATTTATATACTCTTTTTTTTTTCAAGATGTATTTTGACACATTTTTTAGAGTGGACTCCATGAAAATTGTTAAAAGAAATCAAAATTTCACAATTACACTAGTTTTAATTAAAATTCCCTACATTTCTCTCCAAACCCAATATACACTAATTATAGGAGCACGACGTACGAGTAATAAATTAATAGATACTTGTTACTCAATTTCTATTAAAAATAAGATTATACAAAGAATAGCTCACTACCAAATTGCACCTTAACACACTCTCTATTACATTAGGGCCTTGTTTGATTGAGAAACAAATTCATAAGAAGTTCTAGGAAATGAATATATGCATACTTGTTTGGTTGACAATAATGTAGAAATTGGGACTTCCTAGGAAGTTCTACTTCCCACAAAATGGAGGAATTAACTTATCTAGTCCCCCCTAGGTAAGTGGAACTTCCTATGGGAAGTAGAAATTTCTACATCCAATCAAACAATTTTTGGGAATTCCTAGGAAGTACAATATCATAAGAATTGAGATTTCATGGAAATTTCTACTTTCTACATCCAATCAAACAAGACCTAGGTTGTAATACAATTATACAACTATTCATATATGGAAAAAAAAAAAATGTAATGCAACCATGTTTTATTTTTTTGTGTTTAGAAAGCCACAAAGAACGGGGTGAGAATCAATTCTAGGATCTCCTGAAATCGGGAGGGAAGCTCTAACCACTTGAGCTATCCCTATTTATACTATTACAAGAAGTTGCATGTGTTTTCTAAAAAAAAAATGCATATCGTTTAATTTTTTTTTGGATATCACATTGTTTCTGGTTTTGAAATTTGAGGAAATTTAGTGGCTATCCACATCACTTTTTTTTTTTTTTTTTTTTTTTGAGGAAAGCAATCCACATCACTTAGATGGTGAGTATCATATGTTGTTTGATAACGTTAGAAGACTGAACTTTAGAACTGTTGGGAGTCTTGTGACCAATAAAAAATCGTGGGCCACCTGGAAATTAAATTAAAATTTTGAGATGATAACAAGTGTTAAAAATAATCAAGTGTCAAGAGAAGCAGACAAAACAAAAGTCATGGGACTCATCACTCACAGCAGATGCAGCTATAACAACAAACTCATACCTACTGCTGCAAATTCATTCAAAGAAAACATAAACCAAAGTAGCTACAATAATGACCCAATACCTCCTCTGTAAGCCGAAACTTGAACAGCGCTTTCATTTTGGGTTAATTAGCCAAACCTGCACCATTCCGGTGAATCGGATAACATGACCTACATATACCTAGTGAAGCGACAAGATAAGACTCAAAGCATAGTCGCCAAGTGACTACATAGTCTATTTCACGTGGATAAATTTGAAGGATAAGGCTTTTCCTTCCAAATCATCTGCAACAAGAAGATAACATCCAATATACAAATGTAGTAGTAATAGGCCACACAGACTGTCAAAAAAAGATGGATACACAAAATCTCAATAGAAACTTGAATGATGGTATTGAAGTTTTACAAACAGGGGTTGCAGAAAAAGGGGAAAAAAATAGTGATAAAGAAAAAATTTCCTAAATAATTCAACTACTTACTCTTACTACCTCCGTTACAGATTAGTTGCAACTTTAGGGTATTATTTGTGAGACATAAAATATTCCAAAGTTGCAACTAATATGTAACAGAGGTAGTATAATCATTGCAATACAACATATACATGAATATAAAATACACTAAAAAAAAATTGACCCTAAATAACGAAATCCATTAATTTATAGCATAACTTGAAACTGGAACAATGGAACCTGCAAGAGAGAGAGGAAAACAAAAAGGAGGAATTCGCATTGCAAGGCCTATGGCAATATTATACCATCATTATTTACAGCCCAAAAGCATAAAATCAAGATGCAAAACCAATCAGGAGGGGATTTTGAATGGATACATCAGATGTACTGCTATAAAACAAGTTAGAGACACAAAATTTACACTTACAATTTGACAAACTCCCCACCAAAAAATGTCACATAATTTTACAATTGGATTTATCTTTTGATTTTTGATCTTGTCTCGGGGTCGATGATGACGATGTTGCTTTTGCACTACTTCGGGGAACCTAGAACACCATCATAATTCACTTGGTCATACACTAAAACAAACTACTTAAACATAACAAAAATTACATAAAAAAAAAAGAAAAAAAAAAACAAGACGATATAAACGTTAAAAATTTACAATCAAATGGTTATAAATTTTTAAATTATCAATAACAAGGAAATTCATCTTAAGCATGATACACATAATCTTTAATATGTTTAGTAAACCTGAATGGACATAATACCAACATTAAATATGATTCCATTTCACAGATTGGAAGCTCCAATTTCTATGTCATCAGTTACAAAATCAAAGAACTTCGAACAACACATAAAAGGGTTTTTTCTTTTCTCATTTTAAACAAATATAAGTCAAGACAATTTACATTCAATATTTTTCTCTACTCAAGAGAAATCCAAAATTTCAAAACAAAATAAATCCTACTATGAATCTCAATGATATACTTCCTCTATTCCACTTTAGTTAACATGTTTTTATTCATCATGTTTGCCAAAGCAAAAGTTCAATAATTTATATCTCTAATTATTAATAAGTAAAAATTATAAAAAGTTTGATATTATAAAAGTAAGCATTGAGACAATATTAACAAGATCCCACATAACTAGGTTTTATCATAACTACAAATAACAAAAGCGGGTCAAAATATTATATATGAAATAGTGTAAATTGTCAATTCCCTACTTTAGCATAATTGAAATAATCCCAGCTTCAAATATATTTTGTTAAAATGGTTCCAACCAAATTGACAACGGATCATGCCCTTATTTAGTACAAAACCCTGCATACATCCTAAAAAGTAGAATTTGCATGTTACAGACGATGCAACATACAAAACACTAAATATTAAGTTATTTAAAGATTAATAACATTATGAAGCCATGTGGAAAAGAACTTGCCACATATTCCATGGCCAATTGAGTTGGAACCATACATATATTAAAGTTGGGATTAATTTAAGATATGTTAGCAAATGAACCAAAAGTATGAACTATAAAAAACAATAATGTCTTTCTTGATTAACAGAATATTATTTATTCTCTTCTCTATCTTAACATTTCCTTCAAGAGTTAAGCCGAAATTTACACATCTTTAACTAGCCAACCCCATCATTGTGAATCAAAGCTCTGATGAAGATGTTGTATAACGACTGACTTGTACTAGAATTTCTCTTATTATAAAGATTCTAGAGGAACCCTTAGGTTCTCATTGGCTGCTAAACTAAAAGTTTGACATCATAAGGCTAGAAAGAAGGTACTAACATCTAATAATGCAGTGTGCAGCTACATTTACATTGCAGAGCCAGGAACACAGTTAACCGCTCCTTTGAGCACTAATATCAAAGATTAAACAGAGCAATCAGCTTCTTATTTTTCATTGTTATTAAATATCCCTCTCACCTGGGGACCTGTTATGAGCCTAGAACCGCCAGCACTAGAAGCTTGTTGTGGAGGATTCCGCTGCTGCTGCTGCTGCTCAAACTCCTGCTGTTGCAAAGCGATTGCCAATTGTAGATCGGAACTGTCAAGATGCACAGAAAAATATTATAAACCCCCCAAATGAAAAAGAAGGAAAATGTTTGACTAAAGCAACCAAACTATACCGAGCAAAACGAACAGTACAGCAAGAACAGAATGACTTATCAAATCATAGAGCACAAAAGGCTTTAGGAGAAACAAAAGGTTATTATTTAATTGGAATAATTACTTCATATTTGAGTCATTCGTTTTTGAATTATCAATGCTAGCCAGATAGTCCTGAGGAAAAAAAAAAAAAAAAAAAAAAAAAAAAAAGAATTAGCAACAGATATTACAAAATGACAAGTTCTTCAGGGAGAATTAAATCAAACATAAATGCATTCAAGCAAAGCTAGTTGACTCGAATGAAAGAGAATTGCATTAATATACACACACACACACATGCACTTTACCTACATTCCATTACCCCCCCCCCCTCCCCCCACGAAAAAAAAAAAAAAAAAAAGAACAGTAAAGAATTCAAATCATTTACATATTAAATCAAATAGGAGAGCAACATTGCCAGAAGTAAGACGTTTATCTCCAGCACCATTCAAATTTAGTTTCATCTAATTGGTTTTTTACAAGTATGTCCACAATGCAAGCTGGTTAAGGCTAACACAAATAGCAGGTATAAGCATATACACTTCAGGAAAGAATGTATGGTTCAGTTGTACACATGAGCACAGCACGACCAAGAGAAGAAAACATAGAGATAGATAATTCAAAGATAAAGGGGCATACAGCAGTATTAGCTACAGCATTCTGCTGATCCCATGTACCATTTGAACTGCTTTCCAGCCTAAATTCCTTGAAATTACTAGTCATGAATAGTGTATCTCCATTGATCTGCAGAGATTTGTTGACATGAACATAAGTTACACTATTAGGTTAAAAAAGAGAAATGAGGATGGGAGGGAGAGAGCGAGCAAAAGAAGCCATGTATATATTGACAATGAAAAGAAATGAGCAATTATTTCCTACTGCATAGTAGGATTTGCCTGCATTTGAAAAAAAATTATCACCTCTTGGCTCTTGGTAATCAAAGTCTCAAAGATAAGTAAATACATTAAGCAAACATATTAAAACACATGATAATTTAAAAATTATTTGAGCATCTCAGCCAGATATATAACAAAAAAAAGAAAAAGAAAAAAGGATGTGTCAAACATAGTTCCTATCACACATCATCTTTGCAACAAGATACTCTGTCATGCAGACGCAGGGCCAACAGCTCATCATAGCAACAAGATAGTTTGTCATGTATACATGATACCAACAGCATTTATCATTTTTATCTTTCAAATCTTTCATATGATTGGAAATCCAGGGGATAGCATTGGTTGACTGCAAAGGAAGGGGATTCTTTCGCAGATCAAATACCTAATATATCTTAGTTTTCCTCTGCTACTTACTAAACAGCTGTAAATTAAATAGTAGCAACTAATTACCCTTCACATCTAATGAGTAGTGCTTTGGCTGAAACAGCATTACAGCAATAAGCAATATCATACATATGGCTGGCACACTCAAACCCCAACTCACAACTCACAGCCTTAAGCACTTTATAATCAGCATACTATGATTGCAAAGCTTGTGCCTCACAAGGGTCTTCTCCCCTACTAATCATACCAAGGGGGATAATACTGCTGAAATAGAACTAAAAATTGGGGCAAATAAATAGTGTTGCATATTGTGCCCATCTTCATGAATTTAAAAATAAAAAAATAAAAATTAGTCTATCATTTTCCTCCATAATCGGATTAACTTAACCAAACTAAACTAAAATGATACCAAAAACTAATTAAACCATATTTGACCCATACTGAAATTGACCCAAACCACACCAAAACAACCCAGTAATACAACTAATTATGATAGATTTTTCATAAGAATTACATTTTCAGTAGACCCGAATAAGAGCTGAACTAACTAGGCCCAGTTTGAGTTAAAGCCAAACCGAATGACTTGAATATAAAAAAAAATGGATACCACCACCGACAAATCAGAAAACCAGGTTTATCCCCAATTTGTCCAAGGCCTAAATGACTAAAAGAACATGTATTTTATTGATGACCACGATTAAATAATAATTCCTTTAGTCTTTTATTTATTATTATTATTGCATCATTATGTGGTTCACATTTGAAAATGCACAGCTTATACCAATAATATCTTAAAATAAAAGGTTAACATTATGAGAGAATATATATCAAACTTTACATTTATATCAGAAAAGATGGCTAAGGAGGAGTATATGAATAGAGTAAGAGTCTAAGTGAAACAATAGAAACAGAGAAAGCAATAAGAAAAATAAAATAAAAAATTACAGATAAATAGATAATCATCAGAATAGAAACAATCTGTTACCTCATTCAACTTTTCCCATACTAAGTCAGGCTGATTCATGTATCCTTGATCTGTGGCTAAAAGATAGAGTTCACCATCCAGCTGCAACAAGCAACAGAATAATGAAATTATCCGACAATGAAAAGCCAAGGACAAATAAGCAAAATTCACACTATGTGAAGAAATACATATATACACAAACCTTAAACATTGTGCTGAAGTGATTATTTCGGAAAAAAACACAAAGCTTATGGTCATCGAGACCTGCTTGCAAGCAAAATAAGCTGTACAAAAAAACAAAACAAGCTGGCATAAGGAAAAAAGTAACTTTACTCTAAAAGAACAGGAGCAAATCAACAATTAAAACATGCATTATACCCATAAAAAGTCAACTGGCTGGCATTGCCTTTCAAGAAGTTGTCAATAAGTTCCCCTGAAATGGAGAGAAAATATAATTACAACTTTACAAGTGGAAAAAAAATAGCCTTATGTATAGTATCAGCATGGAAATTCAAAATTAAAATTATAAATCAGAAAATCACTAAATTCAAATTACATGTACCCTGTCTAAGTGATATTCCATGCTTGGGACTCACATCAGAGGCATCTTTAACTCCATTGTCAGCCTGTTCAGCCAAAACCACCTCACCTTCATAGACAGGTTCGTGATCTTCACAGAGTGTTTTTCCTGGATCCAGTATACACTCCTCCCCTTCATATATAGGTTCACTTCCATCAAGACTCGGCGTAAAGGATTCAACTGCTTCAATGCTGGGCATTGAGCCACTAGATGGCTCATAACCAGCATGACCTGCAATCTGACTAGAAGTTTGTTCTAAAGATAGTTTATGCAACCCCTCACTGACATCAATTACAGGAGTAGACAAGCTTTCAGCTTTTTGATCATTTACTGTATCTTTTGCTGGAGCAGGGTCACTGAGAATCGCTGTGTCAATCTTGCATTCTGCCAAATCATTTGACAAGGAAACTTCTCCAAGTGGAGCAGGAAATAATTGGTCATGATCTTTTTCACTATCATTAGTGAAGGAAAGTAAAAGAGCCTGCTCTTCAGATGAAAGTAATTTTCTGTCAAAATGACCATGCACATCATCACTGCCTGATACAGAAGGCTCTACATCTAATAGTCCACTGGTGCTATGTCCTTCAGATACATGAGCAGAATTCATAGGTGACTTGGACATATGCACATTCTCATCAAAAGATATTATTACATCTCCTGCAGGGACTGCTTCTATATTAGAAGGTAGATCAGCCTTCGATAATTTCAACACTTCTAACAGCTGTGCCTCTTCCTCAGCATCTCCTTTCCCAAATATTTGTTGATCAGAAGCAGAGCGTGGAGACTCGTCAAAAGATTTAGCCCTTGAAAGGCTAGGTGAAGGAACACCCAAGGCTGCAGTAGTTGCAGCCGCAAAATCAATGCAGTCTTCATCAGATTTATCCTTGCCCACATTCTCCATTTTCCATGTTTCCAAGGCAACAAGATCCCCCATAAGAGTGTTATAAGATTTTGATTCAATTGCTTCAGCAGTCTCATGATCCTAACACCCATAGATACACAGACATTATGCCAAAGGGAACAAGGAAGAAGTAACAGCAAAAAAAAAAATCATATTTGAATCTCAAATCTCATAAAGCATCATATAGCAACTATCGGATCATCAAATGTATATACTACACATTCCCTTAAGCAATATAAACAATAGTCTTAAAAAGACTAACATTAAAGCACAATTTATAGTGCTAGACCAAAAAAAAACAAAGGTATCACTTGAGAGTTTCTCAATAAAAATATAATAAAATAAAGATCCATGCAATTAAAAGATAGGCTGGTCAAGAAGTGGCAGCATTGCCTTATCTGCCCAAAAGGACATAACCTACATACAAGTTACAATAATATATGTGGCCTAGAGGCCATTTTTGCATGCACTAGTAGATAAGGGAAAGCGAATTAAGTGCAGTCTATGTTTCATAAAATTTCCATTCCCTTGCTCCAATTTTTCCCCCTTCTAGATGGGGTTAGGGGTCCCATCACTTAGGATTTTGTTGAAAAAATAAAAAAAACATAAGCACCGAAGTTCGAAACTAAAATTATACCCATGTTAAAGCACCAATAGAGGTGGCCAAAGAAATTTGGCCAACAGAGAGTCCAAAAATTGTCCTTCTAACTGATCAGCACTCTGATTGTAATTTGAGACCAAACATAACCATTTCTAGTTAATTCTCAAACACCCCTATGTTGTTTGTGAGAACACTATATCCACTTACACAATACAGGCATCTCCATGCTCGTAGAAAAAATTTGTTGACAGCAGTTTCTAATGAGCTTAAATACATGACCATCAGCTAGAAAACAGGCTTTAAACCAAATATTTGTGAGTTGAAACCCAATTCTACCAGAACCTAAACTAACTGAAAAATTCTTGGTTACAAAAGAAAGAGGGGGTGGCAGGGAGTAAAATCTGACACAAACCGGCCCAACCAACCCATATGGTTGGTACTATCAAGGCTTCCATGTAAACCAATCTGAGCACTAATAGTGGGATAAGAAAGTGGGGTGGCAAGTAGTGAAATTGGCAGCAAGTCTCAACCTCAATGGTCATTACCCAAGAATGGACATTGATTAAACATCCATGGCCAATTGGCCAGCCCCTATAGCCTGTTCACAAGCAATCATTGTGGATGAAGTGGCAAATGGCCTTTAGGTGAGCCAACAGCATGAGGTAGAGTTGTAGCATAGAACATCTGAGGGGTAGAGGCTGATCAAGGCAATTGGGGAATAGAAACAATAGCAGCCTCATGAGAAGGTGGTAAGTGGCAAGGAACAAGTTTAATGAGAAGGCGGTAAGTGGCAAGGAACAAGCCTAATGAGTAAGAGGTGAGGGGTGAAGAAGGCTAAAAGAGAAATTAGAATCTAAACTCTTTATTTAATAGCTTACATGACCTTGTATCTTGATTACCCTAAGATTATTCTCTTTCTGTGGTTTGAACAAATAACTCCTTAGATTAACACATTCATCACAAGTCATATTCATAGAAGCACCACAACGAAAGCAAAACAACATATAAGTCATTGCCAGTATTAGACTAACACTATGCCCTTAAAAATCAGCCATGCATAAAATCTAAGGAGTATATATGAACAACTCTATATAACTCCTTAGCTTTTATTAGACTAACTCTATTTTCTAAAATTGACAACTCTATCCGGACAACTCAGAAATAGTATACATGGCTATCACTAATGGACCAACAAGTATTCTTAAAGACATAATTACAATACCAACTATACATATAAGAAAAGGGTATGTAAAATATCCACAATAAAAGAAGCATACCTGAGGATCAACTAACCAACCATGATATAATGGGATACCCAGAAGATCAAATATTGCACACTCTGGAGTAAACTCAAAAGCATCAATCCTGTGAAATGCAGGCTAGTTAAGTTAATGAAAAATTAGAGAGGACCTAGGCATAAGAAAACCCAAGGATAAGCATTACCATGATAAACTTGAAAAAAGAATGAAAATCAGACCTATCGAATTTGACATTTACATCAATGCCAGTTGTAAGCCATGGCAGCAAGTTTATCGCATCAGAAATATTTTGTTGTTGGTTTTCAACATAACCTGCATCTTTATTCTGCAACCCATTGAATTAGTTATAACTACCAACAAACACGAAATGCAAAAGTGATTTTGACATCATACAGGCAAGATATTTACATTGTTATTGCTGTCTGAATCCAGCAATCTCTCAGCAACTAATGAAAGTAGCTTCTCCTGTGAAACTTCACTTACATCAGCACTCAAATTCAATTCATTCCTCAACAGAAGTACATTACCTACATAAGCCCGAAACACCTTATCAGTAAAATCAGGGCTTCTTCATACTTCAACGTAAAAATGCCATATACCAACATCTCCTCCTTAAAGATTACAGTGGCAGTTATATATCCCCGTTATTTTCCATAAATTTCAGTAAGTAACTATGTCCATATTATTTCAATAGAATACATTAATTAAGATTATTCACATTCAAGAGACAACTAAATTTTTTCCTATTCTAATATGAAAGTCAAAACCAATTTAAACATTGACATAATCATCAGTATTTTCTACATTAGAAAAACTCTGTCCAAATCAATACTCCAATGCTCAACTAAAAAGCGCCACAAACGTAAGCGAATCCTAATTTTACAAATTCTTCAATCAAATTACTTTGCCAGTTTTCTAACAAACATCAAGATCCTCACTCAATAGCCTAAACTCCGCCAATTTAAACATTGACATAATCATCAGTATTTTCCACATTAGAAAAACTGTCCACATCAATACTCCAATGCTCGACTAAAAAGCGCCACAGACGTAAGCGAATCCTAATTTTACAAATTCTTCAATCAAATTACTTTGTCAGTTTTCTAACAAACATCGGAGATTCTCACTCAATAGCCTAAACTCCGCCAATTCAAACTTACGACACAATTGACATCAGAAAACAAGCAATTCATACATTCACCACGCAAAATCAAGGAAAACGTCCTTATTACAAACTCAATCAACCGCGAAAATTCCTTAATTCAAAGCAAAACAACAACAAAACCTAATCACAAACACAGAAATCAACAATTCAAAACAACAAACAACTTCCAAAACAAGCATTTCAGATCAGAAAACAACTTTAGGTTTCCGGCGGAAAATCACACAAGTCTTCAACAAAATCGATTCAACAAATCCAATCCAATCAACAAACAAACAAAAACACAATCAAGAAAAACACGAAACCCTAGAAATAGAGGAGAGAGAAAGAGAAATAACAGATAGCGATGAGAGGACAAGGTCCATTGTCGTTTTGAAGAATAATAGGAGTAGAACGACCGAAGAAATTGATTGTCTTCGTTTTGTGAAGAACACTTTCAGAAGCAGTTTCATCTGAAGATTGTTGTTGTTCTTGAGATTGTGGTTGTTGTTGTTGCTGTTCTTCCGAAGAAGAAGCCATAGTCGACCTCTCTGGTGTTAGTTTAGGAGGAGAGAGAAAAAAGAGAGAAAGATGGTTGTAATGTTTTTGTTAGTAGTGGATTTTGAAAATGAGATTGAATTGAAATGAAATGTTCAAGTTTAAAGTGTTTTTCCGTGGTTAAAGTTTAGCTCTAAAATAAAACGAGTTTATAGTGTTTGTAGTACTTGCGGGTTTGTGTGAGAGAGTCCCGGGTAACAACCAGTTTTGGTACCTCTCTTCGAGTATTTGACCGATTATGAAATGGAGAGGGCACAAAAATGAATAAAATTACGCTATAATTTTATAATGGTGTAAATATCGAATTCATTTTAAGTTAGAGCTTGATTAAAAATTATTTAATTAGACAATTTTATAAAAGTTTAATAGACTGTTTAAAAATCATACTTAACCAAAGAAATAAGTCACAAACTTTGTAGTCTATATATAGTAAACTTATTTTATGTCATTATACTTCTATTCTAATATCAATAAATATATATATATATATATATATATATATCAATCCTTCCTTAGCAATTAAGCATTGACTATTAGGTTTGCTATTTGTATTTAGAAAATTGTATCCTTCCCAACTTGCCATTATCATTCATAAGTAGGGGTTAAAGTCTTGGTTGATACTAAAAAATGAGATTAATTTTGTTTGTAGCTCTCTCTACACCATAAAATAATACTTGAGAAAATTCAAGGTGTTGAAATATAAGAGGAAACTTGATACGAAATATTAATCAAAGAGGGGAAATGTTGAATAAACAGGTATAAAAATATTGATAAAATATTATTTCATTGTTGTATGTTTTTTCTTTAGGATAATAATTAATTTTAAAATTGTGAGTTTTTTAACAAGAGGTTACTTGACTATTTTTATAACAAATTGTAAACAAATACGCTTGGTGGAGAACTTACCTTACCTTTTTCTATGCTCTCAAGCGTTAATTAGTGTAGTTGAGCTAGCTGACCAGGCTTAAAAAATATAAACACGGCCTAATCACGTAGGGGTGAATGTGATGATATGCTGTCAACTTGTTATGCAAGGGTGCAACACTGATTTAGCCATCGGGCTGTCTAATACGGAGTAATAATTATTGGGCAATGGAGTACAAGCTTAGCTCCGTAGTGTCAGAGACCCAATTTAAGTACCAGTAATTAAGCGATTTTATGGGCTACATTTGTCAACTGGATGTGATGGGCCTTTGAATTTGCTTCATGTCCTCAATCAATCATGAAGGTCACAGTTTCTATGCCTGAAATTAGACGGCCTTGACAATAACTCATTCCTCTTTGAAAAAAAAAAAAAAAAAACAAATTCAAATAGAACTCTAATTTTCGATGTTGATTTATAATCATACTTTAGGTTGCATTTGGATATCTAGAATTCATTTCATATTGTTGAATCCAACTCTAGAATATCAATTTTTAGATTTCAACTAGATTAGGCTCGTGCGATGCACAAATTAAAAAAATTATTGGAATGAAATAACTTATTTATGCTATTTATTTTTCCGGACACTTATAAATTAGATCATAAAAACATATCTATCATAATAAATTACATAAGTAACAAAATATAAAAATGAAAGACGACCAATCTGATCTAATCAAACCATATGCATACGAATTTATATGTCATCTAAGAGTTCGAAATACAAATTAAAAATACTTGTAATTTAAATAAATAGAATCACCTTGGAAATACAAAACAATGAAAATATTTACTGACAACATTAGTTCATTTTTGTATAACAAACATCCATATTATTAGTACATGACTTCATAGTTAAGTTGCTTGCACAATCCTTAGAAGAAAAAAAAAATAAAAAAAAATAAAAAATAAAAAAAAAAAACTTAAAAAGATAAAAATAATATTTGTTTATTTATTTATTTATTGACACATTCAAAAGATTGAAATGAAAATGATTAAAAAAAATAATCAAAAATATATATGACATCATAAGTGTATTAGGCGGGAAATTTTTTTATGAGAAAACGACACGTATATAGTTTGGGGAGATGAAGATGTCAGCAATTTCCTGTTTTAGTAACAGTTAATAAATTCCAATTTCTATGTTTGGGAAATTTGAGAATTTTAAATTTAGAATTTCAAATTCCAAAAAACTATTTAGGAAAACATAGAATTTCAAAAATTGGGGAAAGGGAAATGAGCCCTAGGACTAGGAGAGAGAAAATTGGTTTTTACTTAAGGTGAGAATTTGAAATGACATTATTTGAAATGGCATTTGTAATTCATTAACTGGACTTAATCCTTTAAATGCTTGGATTTGGCCCAAATATAAATCCAAATTCTTGCATTACCCAAACAAGACATTTGGCCCAAATTAGAATTTATTACGGAGTAGTTTGTAAATGGACCATTAAAAGCATTTGACTTTTGACCTTTACAATAGTAAATTCTTCATTCGTAAAGTAGGGAGCAATACGAATTTACTATTACCAGTTTACCACTCTTGTAGTCTTGTATCTAATTATGAAATTAGGAGTGGTTGCTGTAGAAGTGATATAAAACAGATTGTTATTTGAATATGTAACTTAAATTTATGTAATATAGATACGTAGATACTCACATAATATGAACTTTGTAGAATGAGAAATAAAAAAAAGCAGTCATTAAGGCACTATGAGGCTTGCATATATACAGTTACACTCCAAAATTTCTTTATGTTTTCAACAACGTTAACAATGATCGTCTCAACTATTCTGGCAGTGTGAAAGCTAAAATAATACTTGCTCCGTTTTTTTTAGTTGACACCGTTACTTTTACACTATTCACACACTACATTTTGACTCGCTTTTGTGATTTATAGATACGATAAAACATAGTCATGTAATATTTTGCTTGAATCGTGTCAATGTATATTTTATTAATATCCACTATTTATAATTTTATAATGTTGAGAATTAGAGATATTAATCATGAAAAACATGCGTTGGCGAGTGTGATAATAGAAAGGTGTCAATTAAAAAAAACAGAAGAAGTATAGATTTATTGTTAGAGCTCACTAGTTTGATTCCCTAGTAATACTCCCTCTATCCCTATTTTTTTGCATCATTAAACTATGCATGGTCTTTGAGACGCATAATAAAACATTTATATCTTTATTTTCATATATGCAAAAATTATAAAAACGTGATATTAATAAAATATGCAATTAGACGAATCTAACAAGATCACTCATGACTATATTATCTTTTATAAATATATGGTAGTTTATGGTCAAAGTTTTAAAAGTTTGACCCCAAAAATGACAATGGAGCAAAAAGGTACGGAGGAGTATGAACTGCCTTAATATTCCTTTTGCAACTTCCTTACAACTCTTCCACTTTTCTAACTTTTGTTCAAGGATCATCATCATGGCCATTATCTTTCCTTTAATGTGGAGTTTACTTATAGTACTACTTAACTATTGGCCTATTGCATTGGTTTGTTTCTTCTTTCCCGCGACGAATGAAATAGATAATTCATTGATATAGCCCATCTCTTGACACTTCTTCCACTTATATTATCTAATTTTCAGGGCTTTTCTTCCTCTTTATTCTCTTTACAATTTTTTGAGCATAAAGTTTACGTGACTCCAACCTTTTACCCTAAAATTAATCCTTGGTTTGTACATGCGGATGTACTATGTGCATGGTACATCCGTTTCAAAAAAAAAATACGGAAAAAACATATAATTAGAGTGGAAAGAACATACTGTTAAACTCTAAAAACCATATACATCTTTTGTTAAACTATTTTAAATGGGGGTTACTAAATGCCACAATAGAATTACTTATGTCGCAGTATTAATTGACCTCTCTACCCTTATAAATTTAATCTTTGACCTCATCCAATTTTCTCACCACCCATGCCCCTCCACCACCATAACCCTAAACACCATAGGGTGTGAATTTGACCTCCGACATGCACCTCGAATTTCGCCAAAAAACACCTAGCGCACCACCTGTCCCAGCAATATTGTCGGAATCAACCACCTACCGCACCAAATCTACCGGAAAAAGCCGGAGGTGGACAAAAATTCAATCGCGGCTTGGGAAGGCGATTCGTTTGCCAGGAACGCAGGGAAATCGCCGGCCAATTCGACTGTAAGTTTTTTTTTTTTTCATGTTGTTCGTCGGACCGCCTGTAATATGCTGTTACACCGCGGCATAGTCGCATTTAGCATGCGCCGTGGTTGAGTCGTATAATTACATGCGGTTGAGCCACGGTGCAGTCGCATATAACATGCGACTCAACCATGGTGTAGCCGCATGCAATATGCGACTCCACCACGGTATAGTTGCATATGACATGCGACTACACCACGGTGTAGTCGCATATTACAGTTGATTATGCCTATTTTTTAAAAAAAAATTTGAATTCGAATTATGGTTATTATTTTTTTAAAAAAAAAATTTCGAATTTGAATTTGAATTCATGGTTTTTATTTTTGTTAAATATAATTTATAATATAATTTAATAATAATTAATAATTGTAATGTTAGTTAGTTGTAAATTTAATTTTTGTTATTAATATGTAATTATTGTTATGTTATTTGCAAATATAATTTTTGTTACTAATTACGGAGTAGTAAATTTTGTTTTGGCATTTGCTTTTAATTTGTAATATTTAGGATTATCAATATTGTTTTAAAAAAAATGATTTCAATAGTATATTGTTTAATAGTAAAATTAATAGTAATAATAATTGAAATAATAATAATTATTATTAGAATTATGAATATAATAATCGAAATTTTATTATTATATTAAATAGTGACGAGGTGGAAAATCAATTGTGGCGACTGATGTGTTGACTGATTCGGGGCCGCGACACACTCGAGCCCGAAACATCGATGCCTATGTTAGGAGAGAAAGGGATGTTGCACGATTGGGAAATACTATTGTTCATGGCACTTCTGATGATGCATATGTTCCTTTTGATGACGAGCCTGATCACGGACGAGCTAGCGAGTCTAAGGAGATAGCGACGGAGGAGTTTGAGGGTTATTTTGATCAGAGTGGTGGGCATGATGACACATCAAGTGTAGTGGTAGCTAGAAGGGCTAGAGATGGTAGGTTTGTCGCTTTTGACACCGGTAGCACCACTAGTAGACGACGTACTAATAAACGTCAAAGACAAGTTGATGATGATTCTTGGATAGTAA